CCGGAAAAAAAAAAAAAAAAAAAAAAAAAAAAAAAAATATTAATTTTAAACAAATAACTATAGCAGAAGTGAATTAAATCTTTTTTTTTTTTTGTCTTTTTCCGTGTCCGGCAACGGATCGCAACCCTCAGTGTCGCCCCCGTACCGGACCGGGACCGGCAACGGGATCGCAACCCTCGGTGTTGCTCCCGCGCCTCGCTCAGCCAGTGAGCGGGAACTGGTCCGTATGTGGGATCCGAACCCTCGGCGGGAGCGCCGCCACGCTTCCCAAGCGGCGCACTATCGCAGTGCGCCACTGGGCCGGCCCAGAAGTGAATTAAATCTTTACCTAATTATAAATGTTATAAAAGACATGAAAGTAAATATTATTTTATAGTTCACCAAGAAAATTTTAAGCAAGAAAATATTGCATGGACAACTCAAAAAAATTTACAGATAATATATCCCCAAAACATGGCACCTACAAGAGCTTATACTAGATTACGTGGAAAGTTCTAGATTCTTGATAAAAGTACTAACATTTATACAGTATTTCCTATATGTAAGGCAATCTACTAAAACTTAATATACATTATCCCTTAAAATATACTAGTCTCTATAACAAGATCATTTACCGTACTTGGATTCAAACAGAATACAAGATTAATTTTATTCCCCAACTGCAGCTATGTAAGTTTATTTTAGCTGTTTAGCCTATGCGATTGTGGGGCTGTTCTGGGCTTCAAATGCTTTATTTTTATTTATCAAAATAAATGTTTCCTATATTATTGAATTAGATATTACCAGATTTTGAATATTTTAAAATCCAATTTGAAATATTAAAATCAATTATTTCCATCTTGAAGAGAGAATTTTGGTATAGATACTTCATTATCAGAAAAAACTTAAAATCTCACTAGAGGGCAGCAATTACTTAAAAAAGAAATAAGCACATCCTTACAGTATGGAGAGGGCTTTAAAACACCCTTGTGGCAAACCACGATTAATTTAAATTATCTCGATCAATGATTTGTTCACCACTCAAATGTGTGAAAAAACAATATTTCTGTATTTTTCTATATCTCTCATATTTCTAAATTAGCCTTCATGGAAAGATTTAAACTGATTTTTATCCATGAATTCCATATTCATTCTCATTTCTTTGTCATAACATAATGTACTTTAGAATAGCTTTGTAAATATAAACGTTTCTCATTGTACCTCCAAATCCACATGTCACATTCAATCTCTCCTAACCGTATTTATGTTCATCCAAAAAAGACAGTGTACATGCTTTCAATTCAATACTGTCCTTCACTGTGTGCTGTGAGTTAGCGCATGTGATAACAAAACAGCCATTTCCGGCTCATCAATCTTAAATTGGGGGAATTCAAGATACTTATCTTAAATAAAACTATATGATAAAGCATGTCATGAGAAAGGTTAAGACTTTTCAGATAGTGAGTTCTATATACTATTTTTCTTTAAAAAAAATACATTATCTAAATTCAGTCCAGTTTTTCATTTCACTAGAAGTATAAATCAATAAATTTGTCCTAATGAGATGTCACGATTCACAGAGTGAGAAGGAATCATAGTGTCTATTGAGAAGTATTAACTTTCAGATGCTTTTAAATAGAATATCTTTTCTAGAGTGGTTTATAGAAAAACTTCTTCACAGTAAAATAAGTAAAAAGTATATACAAATAAGGAACAGAATTATGAAACTGGAGTTCAGACCCAAAGGTTGTATTTCAAATAAGACAGGACAGCTGTCTTCTCAAATCAGCAGCTGAGTTTGGCCTAATATATTTCTACCCTTTCTTCTACACTGTAAGAATACAAATGACCTTAGGCGGTATCTACCTAAAAAAAATTCACAACTTCAAAAAAAGGTCTCTGAACATTCCATATCCAATCCATTCATGAATACTTTATTAAATACCTAAAACATGACAGTAGACTTTGAAAAAAAAGAATAAATATAGGGAAAGAAACTGACAGTCCATTCATCATGCATATTCATGGGGTACAAAATTGACCATCACCACCTGTGCCCAAGATGTGATGACCAGATCAATACTATCAGAATGCCCACTACCAAAAATTATGATTATTCCCCGTGTCCCCCACCAAAAAATAAAATATGTAAGTAAAAAAAAATTATAATCTAGATGTCTAGCATATTATATAGTACAGATAAAAGATTACAGACTTTTAAAAAATCTTTCATATAAACAATGTTGTCCCAGAAAATGCAATCAATTTCATTCTCATTATATAGCTACCCAAAGTGAGGCCACAAATTGAATTTTATCATCACTTAGAGAGTTGACACCTCTGCTCCTCCAGAATGTAAGAGGGCTTCATTCAATCAGTTTAAGGCTTTAAGAGAACTGAGGTCCCCTCAAAAAGAAGGAACTCTACCTCCAGAATGCCTTTGGACTTGAGACTACAATATCAGGTCTTCCCTGGGTCTCCAGCCTGCCAGACTGCCCTGCAGATTTCAGACTTGCCAAACTCCACAATCATATGAGCCAACTCCTTAAAATAAATATCTCTATATACATATATATATATATATATATATATATATATATGTCTACACAGATAGATAGATAGATATCTACATAGATACACATCCTCTTGATTGTTTCTCTGAAGAATACTAATACACCATTGTAGCACACATGGGACACTACTCCTCTCCCTCAGCCTTTCACCTTCTTGTGTCACATCTTCTTTGGCTTCTCTTCTTTCAAGAGCACCAGAGCACTTATTTTTTTCTTCTAACTAGCAAAATGATCAGCCAAAGTGAGTCAAGTAAAATCTCTGCTCCTCTCTGCCCTTGCAGGGTGTTCAAGGCTATTCTTGGGTAGATCAGCTTGGGACAGATCAGAAGACTGATCTCTAAGGACATGAGGTTCACTGCTTAAAAGACACAACTACAATAATCATAATATGGCTGGATATTTTTAGTTATTAATTCATTTTATTTTCTCCCTTTTACTTCACCTTTTCCTCACCCTCTTCCCAATTCAAGCCTTTTTTTTCATTCACTCAGGAGACACATATGTCAGGGTAGAAAAGAAAAGTAACCTGCAACTCATTCTGGCTTTTCCAAAGAGCCTAAGCTTGAGTTTAACACAGGAAGTAAGAAGGAAAGGGAGAATTCTAAGTGCAGAGTGTCCCAGAGAACCGAAGGAAGAGCAAGGTTTCTCTGTTGCAGATTGGAAAGCAGTAATCCACGATTTATATTCAACCGTTATGGTACAGTCCTGGAACAGGGGTGGGGTGATGTACAGAGACAATAAGAATGCAACTGAAATTGTCCACTGACCTAGTAAAATGGCAGTTCTAATACCTAATAATATCAAGTGCATGCTACATGCCAGGCCCTATACTAAGAGCTCTTGCTTGTATTGGTACTATTACCTTCTCCATTTCTGTGAAAATAAATGATTTGCCCAAAGTCAGGCAGCTAATAAGAGGTAGTTGTGGCATGGTTCCAGAATGTTTACCTAGAATCCTAATCTAAACGGTCAGACTCCAGAATACTTACATAATTAACATGGGCAAAACAAGTTCATCACCAAGGGCTACCATTTGATAACAATAATAGAGTAAAAAAATCTAGATTAAGAATATTTACATAGTTAATTCTGCATTGACTATTAGTTGGAATAAATTATAATTACTTCTTTAGAATTTCAATGCCTCTTTGGGCTCCGCTATGTTTAATCATATTAAAGTAATAATTTGAAAAATAATATTAAAGATAGACTCATGACTCACATGTTTATTTCACCTTCATTTAACAGCTGCATCACTAGCAGGGTAATATGAAAAGAGCCATCACCAACCATTGTTTTGGCCAGTCGCTTATCTTGTTGTATTATTGCATTTTGCAGGATCTTAATTCCTCCTGTAATCTAATCACACACACACACACACACACACACAAAAGAGATTAGGATAGCAAATTTTTTGAAAGTGAATCAAGAAAAAAATAAGCAACAACCAAAATTAGAACAATGTCGAGATTCTTAAGTCAAACAAATGCTTAATTGTCTACTTGTTCTCAAATATCCTAGATAGTTGACCTGGATGGATTAATAAGATGTATAAGTTTTAAAAATCATACAATGCTTGTCCATCTTAAGAGGATTGAACCTAATGCCTTTATTTTGATCAGATAATTTGTTGTATGGAAACACTTTCAATGGCAATACATCTCTTCAGAAATTTGTCCTCAGAATACACAATATGACTCAATAATTATGACCTTTTCTAAGAAAAAAACTTTACTTTTGCCACAGAAAAGTCAAATCAGCAGACAACATTCCATTTCTGTTTGAAGTAATATTTATTTGTCCCCAAGTGAAAGTGTCTGAAACTCGTTTCTGATGGCCTTTTAAGACTGTCTGGAACAGCAATAATTTCAATAGGAATGACTACTGTCATTTTTCTAGAAGTGTGAGGGGCATAACCATGAAGATAAAATTGCAAAGAAGTCCAGACTCATATGTTAGAAAAACAGTTACCATCCACGTCCAGGTGAAGTCCCCACAGAACTGGTCACTCATCTGCCTTCCCCTCTCAGTACCCACTCCTCCAAAACCAGGAGAGGAATGATGCATCCTCCCTCCTCCACTTCAACTCAGATCCAATTCTAGTCGACTTCTAAATGTGAATGCATTGGAAAGGAGTTTGGATATGAAATAGCAAACCCAGAGAAAGATAGCACATAGGAGTCCTAGGGAGTAGACACCCTGAGGCAGCAGAATCAGTAAGAGAGAAAATGAAAGCAAAGGGACCTGGGAGTAGAAGCAGAATCCATAAAAAAGCAGAGATAAGAAAAAACTGACTCATGAACATCGCAGACTGTTGTGATACTAGAGTAGCTGTTTTATCCTGAACGATGTTCTCATTATCTGTGGAATGTGATTGGGCAAATCATGAGACGCAGTCCTGGGATCTGACTTCCCATTGACAAAGACTCTCTCCTTTGACCAAAACTTTAATCAGGTTCCTCTAAGTCTGCTTCACTAGGAGCAACCTTGGGCTTCTCTCTCTGTCCTTGTAGAACCCAGTTTGAGCAAGAATCCTGCTAAGTCAGTTTAGAGAAAAACCTTACCCCTGGTATCTGACCACCCTCAATATCTTATAAATCTTATCACTGGTGGCCCGCCTTCAGCAATAATCTTAACAAGTCAGTTTAGTCAGAAACCCTTAACCCTGATATTTTAGTAATTTTCCATCCACTGACCTCCACACTGCTCCTCAGTTATAAATCCCCACTTGTCCTTGCAGGAGTCAGAGTTCAATCCAATCTCTCTTCCCCTCTGTGAGCCTCTGTTGTAGTTGTCCCTGTACCTACTGCCATGGCCTTCCGTGAATAAAGTCTGCCTACCATCTTTAACAAGTGTCATGAATAATTTTTCTTTAGCACCATGTATCTTTACAATAAATCCACAACACCCAAAATAACCTCAGCATTTCTCTACTCCTTGCATTCTAAACGAAACTAACAAGGCAAATAGTGTTTTTCCAGTAGGAAGTTACACAATAACACCTAACATAACATTTCCTAACACATGATGTCACTTCTATGATGCCCAATAAATGAATATGGATAGCTGATAAATAAAATGCCCAAACATAATGATATGCAAAGATCTTATAGAGTCAGTTTCCTCTACTCTATATAGATAAAATGAAATTGTAAGCTTCTTGAGGACATGTCTATTTCTTCTATCCTGCTGTCTCACCATAGTGCTGGTAATAATAATAAAAACAATATTTAAACGACAGCAGCAGAAACTAACTTTTATTGTGTGCTCATTAGGTTCTATGCACCATAGTAGACATTTTACATGTATTACCTCACTGAAGCCTCTCAACAATCCTAGGAGGTAGATATCTCTATTAAAATAAATTGAAACACAAATTTTCAAAATGTCTTCAAGACCATATACCTGAAAAAGCAAAGGAGCTTGAAAAAAGGATAAATTATAATACATGAGAAAAGATGAAAGAGGCACATGGATGAAAAAATCCAAGAGGGGTGAGGAGGAAAAGTAGATAGAAAGCAACAGAATAAGGAAAAAGGCCAACAAACTCACAAGGAGTTTGCTTGATTTCAAGAAGGGGCAAGGAGAGGGGCAGAGATATGGGTCCTGACTTAAATAACGTCAAGGGAACAGATACATTTAAAGGGGATTTTTAGGAAGTCTTACTTAATACTATATGCCTAATACTAGTTTGAATGTGTCCCCCAAAGTTAATGTGTTAGAAACTTGATCCCCAATGCAGCAGTGTTGGGAGGTCGGGCCTAATGGGAGGTGTTTGGATCATGCACCCTCATGGACTAATGGATTAATGCCATTACCGTGGATGGATTCCTTACAAAAGGATGAGTTTGGCCCATTCTTATTGTCTCTCTTGCCCTGTCATCTTTTGCCAGCAAGAAGGCCCTTACCAGAACCTGGCCCCATGATCTTGGATTTCCCAGCCTCCAGAAATGTGAGAAATAATTTTTTTTTTCCTTTTTCTCTTTTTTACTGACCGGTAACGGGATCGCAACCCTCGGTGTCGCGCCTGCACCGCGCTCAGCCAGCGAGTGGGAACCGGTCTCCACATGGGATCCGAACCCTCGGCGGGAGCGCCGCCGCACTCCCAAGCAGCGCACTCTCCAGTGCACCACCGGGCCGGCCCGAGAAATAAATTTTTATTCTTTACGAACTACTCAGTTTCAAGTATTCTGTTATGGCAGCACAAAATGAACTAAAACACTATGTAATAGACACTGGCCCTCATTTAAAAAATCCTTTAGCATAAGTCCATATTACTCTGCAATGAGTTATATTTGAATTTTTAGAGTTTTTTCCAGATGCAATGAAGTGCTAAGAGTGGTTTACAGGAATAACAGAGCAGCTCAAGTGGATCCACATACATATAAAAAGGGCCTAGCCCAGTATCAACTACATTGTAGGTGCTCAAAAATATCAGACCTCATAACAATATAATTACATCTTCAAATCTTAGCTGGTACAATGGTTAGTCTAGTTTAATTTATCATGAAAAGTGGCTTAGGATAAAAACTTTGTTATATAATACAGAGTGATGTAAATTAAGGGTGCTGCACTCAAGTCAAAAATCCTGGAACTTAATCCTAGGTTTGCCAGTGGTATGACCCCATACAAGTCACTTAGTTTCACTTAGCCTTGGTTTCTTCAGCTGTAAAATAGGAATAATAAAATCTGCATTTCCAAACGGGCCGGTTCACTTGGGAGAGCATGGTGTGGATAACACCAAGATCAAGGCTTCAGATCCCTGTACTGGCCAGCCACCAAAAAAAAAACAAAAAGAAAGACACAAAAAAGATAATATTGAAGATCGTATTAGAAAAGCTACATGAAAGTACTTTGTAAGGTCTACACCATTTGCCTAATATAAGCTATAGAACACTGCCAATATTATTTAAATCAGTGGTTCTCTACCAAGGCAATTTTGCCTCACAGGGGACATCTGGCTATATCCAGAGACATTTCTGGCTATCAAAATTTGGAGGCAGGGGATTGCTACTTGCAACTAGAGGGTAGAAAATTTGCACTTTCATGGTAACTTAGTCTTCATTCTAAGCTCAAATACTAATTATATATAAATTCAGGACAATGTTCAAAATTCCAACCATTTGAATACTTAGCATTTTAGTACAATGTCCTACCATGGTAAAATAGTGGGTGGTTTTTGTTTCTTTGTTTTTGTGTTTTTGGTGGCTGGCCAGTACAGGGATCTGAAGCCTTGATCTTGGTGTTACCAACACCATGCTCTCCCAAGTGAACCAGCCAGCCTTAAAATATGCTCACATGAATTAACTAATTTCATGTTATTGTTGGTTTTCTTTTTGTTTTTGGCAGCTGGCCTGTATCGGGATCCAAACCCTTGCCCTTGGTGTTATAACACCTCATTCTACCAACTGAGCTAACCAACCAGCCTGTAAAATAGTTTTAGACCATTAGTATCTTTGAATTATCCAGTAGCTTGTAAAACTGCAAATTAAAATTGTAAAATACATTCAAGATTATTATGTGTCTGACGTCAAGTAGTACTGATAATACAGTATTAAGCTCAAATCTATGAAAACTTCAAAGTTAATCTAATCAAGCAATATACCTCTAAATATTATGCTTTGATGATCCAGATTAATTTATATATTCCTTGATATCATCTTAAGACATTTTTAAAATGCTTTTTACCTAGTACTTTATGATTACTGAGTAATTGTTTGAATAACAACAATTTCTGTAGACTTTTCCCCAGCCAAAACAAACAAACAAAAAAATCTATGAACAAGAAAAGATTGAAAATTATTGTCTAAGGTATTCTAATTCTATTTTTTCTAATTCTTAATTATAAAGTTTTATGCAATCAATTGGCATTTTATTAGTAAAGTTTCATTACATTTATTTATTTATTTAACTGTCTATTAAGTGTTCATGATGCAAAAGTTAGAAGATACAATAGGATATTCAATGGAAAGTAAGTCTCCCAGTGCTGACTCCAGCTCCCAGTTCTTCTCTCCAAAGGCAACCACTGTAAGCAGTTTTATGCATTCTTTCAGAGGCATTGTAATGCATATACAAGCATATATCGGGTATCTTCCCTTTTTATTTTATTTTTTTTCTTCCAAATTTTATTTTGTTTTGTCAATATGCAATGTGGTTGATTGTTATGGCCAATTACCGATATTATCAGTATCTTCCCTTTTTAATAAACACTCACATTAGCAAAAATAAAAATAAAAATAAAAAATAAAAATGTTTTTTATTCCTAATTACATTCTTAAAAAGTAAGAGAAACGAAAAACACTTCAGAGTTTTCTCTGTCTGTCATTTTTAAAAAGTACAAATGTCAAAGGCAAAGGAAACTAATTTTTAAACTCACTGTTCAAAATTCTATAAAGCCATTAAAGCATATCTGTCACATTATGATCCCTAGCCATTGGCAGTTTTGCACAAAGCATATTTTTAAAACTTAATACTGTATACTATAAAGTCAAATTTAAATATGACATTGACAGAAACTTATAAAAACAAAAAATTTATTGAAACCTTAAACATTTCACTCGTTGAGTAATTTCTTTGAGTTAAGAAGAAAAAGAAAAAGGCAGACACCCATCTTCTAAACATCACCACTACACCATATACCACATGCCTAAAAATACAATTGGAACATTCATTTTTATATCTTTTAAGCTTTCTAATTGACTCAAAGCATATATAAGTTCAAAGAAAATGCCTTAAAGTTAGTGTGCTTCTGCATGAGCAGGAAGAGTTACATTCTAGTACATGGTAGAAGAATGTCTTTGACCTCATCTTTTGTTATTGTTTTTAGACTTTTTCCAAACTGTTACATATATTCCTAAATTTGTTGCCTCATTAAGATTTACTAGAATTATCACATCAATTTACGCCCTACATTTTCTTCAAAGCTCAATACTCTCATTTTTCTTGCTTGTCCAGAACCATGAAAAAAACTTGAAAAACTGAGGATATAGTGTTAACTGGAGTAAAAGTAAAAAAAAAAAAAAAATCATCCTCAAATAGCAAAATGTTCTATATCTACCAAGTGCTTAACATACTACACATGGCGATACCAAATACTTTTATCACTACATTTTCCAGAAAGGAACTGAATGCACTAATCTACTTCCATATTTTCATAGGACCAGCAATTTTCACATTACAAAATGATGAAATACAGAATTAAATGCAAATGCCTTTTAAAATCCCTGATGATCATCCTTTTCCATTAGCATATTAATAAAAACTTACAAAAAAATTTAATACACTCCTAATTTCAATCCACTTCTGATTATTCCTTGTACTTCTGCAATGTTGATTCACCTTATATTATTACCTCTCATAAGAAAGAATATAAAACCAACATTTGGGTAAATCCAGCTAGAATTAATAATTAAACAACTCTTCCAATTTCTGCTTCCATTCATGTGGCGTTTTCACTGTGTCTCTTCACATCATCACTTATGAGGATACTAGTCACATTGGCTTAGGAGCCCACCCTACTCCAGTCATTTTAACTTTACTAATTACATCTGAAATAAGCTTATTTTCAAAATAAGGTCACATTTGGGGCCGGCCCGGTGGCGCACTGCTACAGTGCGCCGCTTGGGAGCGCAGCGGCGCTCCCGCCAAGGGTTCGGATCCCACATACAGACCGGTTCCCACTCACTGGCTGAGCGAGGTGCGGGCGCAGCACCGAGGGTTGCGATCCTGTTGCCGGTCCCGGTCCGGTACGGGCGCGACACTGAGGGTTGCGATCCGTTGCCGGACACGAAAAAAGACAAAAAAAAAATAAAAATAAAAATAAAAAATAAAATAATTAAACAACTCTAGCCCCTTAAGAAACATTTAAGATGTATTACAACTCCATCAAAATTGTTCTTCTTTTATTTTCAAACTAACATGTAATTGTGAGTTAAAGGAAAAACATGTACTTTCATAGATTTCCAAGTAAGATATCCTTATGCAGCCATTACAATTCATTTTCCAATTCTATTTCTTAAAAATATGAAATCAAGATTTTCCATTAATAAAGAATTCCAAACTTCTAAGAATGCATTTAAAATCAAAGACCCATGTAATTCTGAATCCCTTTTTCTTTAAAACTGGATGCCAACAAGTAGAGGCCAAAAGTGGAACAACTCATTGTGAATGTGCTAGCTTCCAAAGTTTGTTTGCAGGTCACTTAATTGGAACTTGGAATACAGTCTTCCATTGAAACAATGTTATAAATGGTGCTTCTTTTCCCAGGCCTTCCCACAAAAGCCCAAAAGTAACATCAGATACTTTTAAACAAACAAAAAAGGGCTCATATGACTGATATAAATTATATCTCCTACTCCTGCTCAATTCCTATACCTCCTCCCCATATTTGTGTGTAAATTTTCTAAGCCGTTACCTACAAATAAATCTCTTAAGAGGAAAACATTAAATTATTTGGTTTTGAGGTCATTTGAAACCTGCATTTCCCATTATTATAAGTCACGCTACTTTATCTAAAATGAATAACTGCTGTTGAAACTAAATTATGAAACCAGCATTTGTAACACTGTATTTATTATTTTTAAATACTCTGGAAACACGCCTTTGCCCCTGAAATTACGTGTGCGCACGTGCGTGCGTGCGTGCGTGCGTGTGTGTGTGTGTGTGTAAGGATGACAAATAACAAACAGAAAGCTGTGCAAGGCTTTAGCTGGGGAGAATGCAGCAGAGGGAAGGGGAGGAGTTGACATAGTCAGGGTGGTCACGGGGGAGAGGTTTGAGCTGGATTTTTGGCATTAACGCAACCAAGAGGAGAGGAAAGGAAACTCCCTGCCAGAGAAGGCTTTCCCTGGGGCAGAGGGAACCTGGCAAGTCCAAGGAAGGTCAGAGGGGCTCAAGCAGAAAGACCAAGGGCTGAAGTGGAGAAGGCCAGGCCATGCAGAACATTACAGAGTACGGTAAAGAGTTTGCCTTTATCCTAATATCAGCGGGAAAACCCTGAAGCATATAAGCAGGTTGGTGACATATCCAGATCTGGGTTTAGAAAATAATCATTTGAGGTGGGTACTATTACCTGAGGAAACTGAAACTCAAAGAAATTAGGTAACCTGACGTCCACCCACAGTGGAGTTTGTGACCCAGATGGTATACTAACAAGGTCTGTCGAATCCCAAAGCCTGCTCTCTTTCCACTGTCTACACAACCTCACAGGAGTTAAGAAGCAGAAACAATGGCTACAGAAGCTTATAGGGCAGAAACTAAGAGCTGCAGTTGGGCCTCCCTCTTCTCCTTCCTGCCATCACCCTTGTGGCCCAAATCCTAGAACTAAGTGGTGAGAGGAAAGAATTTCTCCACCCTTCTTCCTCAGTCCCCTTCCCACCTGCCATATCCTACCACATTGCCCCACCTATCTTCACTGGAGGAGGTGAGAGGGCAGAACAAAGCTAGGAGGGGAACAAGGGCAGGGCAGGGCGTCACAGGTGATGCAGAGTTGCTGGCCAGTCTGCAACAGGAGCAAAGAATAGAGGTGGTAAGAGAGAAATAGAAAATGAATGCCCTAATTAAAGCAACACAGAAGTACATATCAAACATCCATATTGAGAGACTCTGAAGTGGAACGCTCTCTAAGCAACAAATCAAAACAAAACGTGGATTCTCTCCCAATCACAAATCACGTGTCCTTAGGGAAGGCACTTCAACTATCTACCATTCTTTCAGTTTCCATAGGACTTGGCTCTGTCTGCTCATTAAAGCCGCACCACCTCTCACTTCCTGCTCTCTTGTAATTCCCATATGCATACATGATCCCAAATTTTTAAAAAAATCTATCCAAACAACTTGCAAGCATTTTAATATATAACTGCTGATTACACTAAACTTTGTATCCCACCAAAGAAATCAAATATGTATCAGTAAAATCAGAATATGATTCTTCACTGCATCAAATCTAAAATCCTGTAAGTCTAGGTAATTTTTCTCATTCTATGTCTCCAGTTAAACTGTATCTCACAGACCAGATATTTTCTAGAATGCCCCAAAAGAATTTATTTTTTCTTTTGATATTTATTTCTTTGATTTCAATTCTGTTTGATTTGATTTTTTAAATTCATTATAATTCCCTAGAGACATGCTAGTTAAATAAGGGGTGAAGCAACCTGAAAATGTGCCCAGTCAAAGAAATTATAACCCACAATCAAACAGAAATTCATAACTGGGTCTTAAATTGAGCCAAGATGTAAAAACAGTCTTCCAAGTGAGATGTTCTTTCCTGAAGATTTTAATTCCTACCTCAGTGCTTTAGCAGTTTTACTCAGATACAGTAGTTTTCTCTCAAGGGTTTCTCATTACGGGCTAATTGTCTGGTCCCATTTACTATTATAATAGATTCCTAGCAAGTTCATCATGCAATATTAAATTGGAATAACAAGGAGTAGTTTTTAAAGAAACTATGTTGCAATAATCACTACCGCAAACAGGACTAAGAAACAAGAAACTCCAATTTACTTTCCCAGTACAGATTTCAGAATCCTCTTTTCCTACCTTGTCCTTGCTCTCTGCTTCTGAAAGGTTCCTCCAGTAAAGTGAACAAATGCTTGGAAAGGACCTTGACATGCCACCTGACAACACTTTTTCAAGTGGCTTTTGCAGGATTATTGTTTATATATGATTGTTTAAATATATTTCTATTATTTAAATAGGAATATCTCCTCTATGATCCTGTTATTGCCACTAAAGACTCTTAGAAGCAGAGAGCAAGGGGGCTTACAAGCATTTAGTGCACTTTACATATAGTTTAGAATAAAATGTATAGTAAAAATTGTCTTTAAAAGAATAGTACCTCATTGTTGGTGATCGGAATGGATAGGAAATAGTTGGGTTGATAATCTTTGCGCTTTTTTTTCCTCTTCGGTATTTGATCACTCTTGATCCATTCATTTTCTTTACTTTTCTCCAAATTTATTTGAGGTACATCAGTGACTAGAGGAAAACAGTCAAACAACAATAAGTCTAATACATTTAAACAACGATAATATAGACAGGAAGAAAAGGAAATAAGTGATATATACATAGCAACCATTCATCACCATCATTTTCAAATCTATAGCAGGAATTAGCAAACACTTATATTAAGGACCTCATAGTATATATTTTCGTCTTTGCAGATCATATAGTCTCTGTTGCAACTATCCAACTCTGCTGTAGACAAAATATATATGAATGGGTATAACTGTGTTCCAATAAAACTTTATCTACAAGGCAGGTGGTTAGCCAGATTTGGCCCGTGGGCCACAGTGTGCTAACCTCTGACCTAAAGCATAGCTAACCACCATTCTCTCCCCCTGCCATGATTTTCATAACACTAGGAAAGATCATTTTTTCATCTATCTTCTATATGTGTATTTGTGACTTCTAGGACATAGCCACGTGCAGCACTGCTACTCAAAGTTTGATTTGTGGCCAAACTATTTGTTGCAAAAATTAAGAGAATGCTTTAGAAACTTTCATAGCAATTGGGCAGAGTAATTTTGTCTGTTGAATTTTGCTTTCTATTTTGTAGGTCTTTTACATCATTTTTCTAATAATTAATTTTTTATTGTATGTGACAAAAGTATCAGTCGGCAACAAACAGGAAATTTTTTTTAAAAACTTATCTTTGGGCCGGCCCGGTGGCGCACTGGATAAGTGCGCCGCTTGGGAAGCGTGGCAACGCTCCCGCCCGAGGGTTCGGATCCCACATACAGACCGGTTCCCGCACACTGGCTGAGCAAGGCGCGGGAGCAACGCCGAGGGTTGCGGTCCCGTTGCCGGTCCCCGGTCCGGTGCGGGGGCAACACTGAGGGTTGCGATCCGTTGCCGGACACGGAAAAAGACAAAAAAAAAAAAAAAAACTTATCTTTGAGGGGCCGGCCCATGGCTCACTTGGGGGAGTGTTGTGCTGATAACACCAAAGCCACAGGTTCAGATCCCTATATAGGGATGTCTTGTTAGCTCACCTGGGAGAGCCTGGTGCTGACAACACCAAGTCAAGGGTTAAGATCCCCTCACCGGTCATCTTTAAAAAAAAAAAGACTGATCCTTGACGATAGATAATTTGAGAGGCTCTTATGAGTACTGCTTTTAAAGCCAACTTTAAAAGACTTATTTACAATATACAACTATTCTAATTATGAAGCTATGCCCCCAGAAATAAATACCAAATATGTGTGAAAAGCCACTGCCTCTTATTTTCTACAGGTTCTATCGGAGGCTTCTATATGCATGCAAAACTACAATTAATTGAGTTTTCAGGCTGTGTTTTCTTGAACAGTAGTTTAGTGCTCAAAACAGAGTGCCTCATATAGACTTTGTAGGAATTCAAATGTAATTATATTTCCTGAGGTACAATTTCAATCCTATAAGATTTGTTTCTTCTTTGGGATCAGCTCTAACAGACCATAGTGACCACCTGCACACACTGCCTTAAGAAGGACTGTGAGAAAAGTCTGGTACTTAATCCAGAGTTCAATGCCTATTACATGCAGCCCTGATCTAATTAAATCCCTTATTTTACATATGATGAAACAGAAGAACTTCAGAATAACTTCTAAAAACTGCTTGATTTCAGAATCAAGTCTGTTACCTAGACCTTGTAACACTCCTTCTAGTGAACTTTTCTGCTGTAGCAAACTGCTTCTCTACTGAAGTTCTGCATGACTCACTAATATTACACATAAAAACACAGAGCAGAAATATTTGTTCTATTCTGTTTCTCTATGAAATATTAATAGTAAACAATTTTTAAATGAATATATCAAATGGTATTTTAATGCTAACTTCTAAGAAAAATAGTAGAGTATGTTTAAAATTTTAAAACAAAGAGTTTGTGAGAATAGACATGCTTTCTTTCCAAAACATAGATATGTGAGACCTAGAAGATGGGGGTAAATTGAGAGCCAGATGGCCTGGGTAATAAACCTGACGATGTCATTAAGAATTAAGGCAAAATTACCTGGTGTGTTTGTACATCTATTTCACCACTACATCTCTCAATTATATGCCTAATGATTAATGTGGTTAAAGATACTGTTTCCACAGAGGATACGTAATTAAAATGCAAATTATCCCTGGCTTCTTTTATACCTGTGAGTTTGTCAGAACTTTATAAATTCTGTTGCTAAGAGTTTGCAGCATTCTCATCCATGTTATGAGCATTACCTGAATTGCCTAATGTATGAAGCCATTGGGTTTTATTTCCCATGCAATTTTTTTTATATGGAAAAAGAAATCAATGTTCTTGGGCTGCTTGTAACTTTAGATGTCAAGGAAAAGGTCCTACATTTGATTGTAGTAATTTCAAGCAGAAGCCACAAAATATGCTAATGAAACCACACACACACACACACACACACACACACACACACACACACACATTTTTTTTGGAAATGACATATATTTTAAATCCATTTCTAAATACATTTCTGCACCTGCTGTTAGTAAACTAGTACTCTGGAAACAGGAACCAATTTTAATATAGTACGGAATCAGAGTGTCTGGATTGGAATTTTAGCTCTCCCACTTACTAGCTGTGTAATCTTAGAGACATCACATAGACTCTTTCCTCAGTTTCACCTCTGTAATTTGAGAATAATAATAATAGCTACCCCATAGGGTTTTTTTGAGGATGGAGTTATTACATGAAAGCATTTAGACTACTTCCTGGTATAAAGGACATACTATTATTAGCTATTATAATTATAGATATTACCCAGAATTAAACATAATTAGAGATTAATCTGTATCTGCTAGAGATTATTTAGGGAACTCAAAAGAGAAACAGATGATTTGTAAACTACCCATTTGTTTTTCATCATCCAAACCACTTGTACTTTCTCTGAGTATGATCTTTTAATCAAAATGAAGAGCTGTATTGAACAGTCTTTTTTTTTTTTATTAAATCCTGAAAAGTTAATTTCAAAAGCAAGAAATTTATTTTCTAAGGTAAAACTACAAATCAATTCTAAATAAGCTCCAAGCATCCATCTCCTTACATCTCATTGTCCAAATCATGACACAGAGCTAACCCCAAGCAACACAGTAAGCTAGGATAGTGAGAATCTGGCAATTATCAACCCATGCTGTGGAAAAATACTTTATCAAAGGAAAAAGAGGAGGGGCAACAGCTGTTGGGAAAGTAACTCGCACTGCCTGTTTCAATCCTGCAGAAGCAGCACTAAATAGTGAAAAAGTCACTGACCTAAAGATTAGTTTTCCAACAAGCATCTTTTCATCAAGTCCCTTCACTTGTTTATCTGAAAACTTAAAAATCTGATCAATCCTTGGAAAAATAGCTGATCCTAGGTCTGAAGCATACAAAGTACAAGAAGACCTAAAGCCACTGACCACGAAAAGGTGAGACGAAAAAACATGCCTACTGATGTATTCTTATCAACATTCCAAAACTTAATTAAGTCCCCTGATCTAATACCAGTCTACTGGAAATATAAGAGATAGGGAAATATGTTAAATGACCAGAATATGGAAACTCCTACACATCTGATTTCTCCAACAATAAACACACACACACAAGAAAAAAAGGAGAAAATCCATACATGAAAAGAGACTGATGTATCAACTTTTAAAAATTATGCACAGGGCCGGCCCGGTGGTGCACTCTGTAGAGTGCGGCACTTGGGAGCGCAGCGGCGCTCCCATCGAGGGTTCGGATCCCATATAGAGACCGGTCCGCTCATTGGTTGAGTGCGGTGCGGGCGCAACACTGAGGGTTGCGATCCCGTTACCAGTCACGAAAAAAGACAAAAAAAAAAATTATGCACAACCAAAGATTGACTGGATACTGGATGACATTAGAAACTACCAATTATTTTTTGGCATGGTAAGGATATTTTGGATATGCTTTTTTTTAAAAAAAAAGATTCCTTATCTTTTAAAGGTACATACAAAGTGAAATGTCTGGAATTTATTTCAAAATAATCCAGTGAGGAGGAGGTAGTGAATAATCATTGTCCTATTCTCCCTACTTCTGAATAAACTTGAAAGCTCCTATAATGGAATATTTTTTAAAAAGGGGGAGGGGCAAGGAGGGATAGCTAGGTAATCTCTATCTAGGGGGTCTCTGCCCGTTCTAGTTTTCTGTAATCTACGGTAAAAGTACTAACTCTTAATACCTGTACCAATTAGGATGTTTCAGGGTGAAATTAAATTTAAAATAGTTTTGAGAGAATCCTGAGCCTACAGCCTAGTTGTTTTTTCAAACTGAAAGCATCAATCCGCTAGTGGGTTACAAAATAAACCTACAATATAATAAAGATCACTTTTTAAAAACTGGAATGGAATGGAATAAAGCAGCCTAGCAGTCATGTAGGGAGCACATTGTGTGAGCAATGTGAGTGACAGCACCGCTTCATGAACCTTTTATTTTAGTTTTTTGTGTACGCATGTATATTGGGTGACAACATAACATGCATTTCTCATTGTGAACATGGACGTATAATCACTGTTGCTGTATTTTACTTATACTCCAGTATGAACAATACTAAACAAACACACTTAACACAGTATTTAAAAAACCACTGACACAGCATTTTAAATTGTTTTATACCTTATCTGTTTAACACTAAACTGTCTTACTTTCTATAGCAACATATTTCTGCCATTTCAAACATTCCATAAATCTATTTTGCAGATATCCAGAAAAGGAAAATCATAATCTCTCATGAAAATGGTTATAAGGTATAATACCTCTAACAATTCTGGTATCATGAGAACAACATACTGTAAAACTCCAACTCAGAATACAACTTCTTGGTTAAAAATAAAGTAGTATAGGGTTTGTCTAAATCTCTTTAGCTGTCCATAATCTTATGAATAACTATTTAACTTCCCTCTGAACTGGATTATCTAAAATATTCTTTTGTTGGGTATCACAGATAGTGCAAATGTTAAAATTATCCAATGAGAGCTGAGTAGAAAAGGAAAAG